GGTCACTACTGAGAAATGAGTTTCTGAAGGGTAGTCCTACCAAATGGAGCTTTACTCAACAGTCTGTCAACAATACAAAACAGCGTACTCTTTTTGAACTTTGCAGGTTTTTCTTATTCAACCCCATTCTGCGCAATGCACCAGTTGGAACAAGCAACTACAGAACACCTAGGATGGCACTATTAGGAAAAAAGATTAAATCTTTATCCTGGCAATGGGTTTAATTTCTCTCCTAATTTATCATTGTGAATTTATAAAATGTAGCAAAGCAAAAGCAAAATTGGACTATCTGGGCTAGGGATCAGTGAAGGAAACAAAGGGAGATTTAAATATTTCTTTTTAAAAAAGATTGATGCTTCCAGTTTTCTTCATTACAAACAATTCTGTAATGAACTTCTTACAAGTAACACATAGCAAACTTGAGGGAAATTTTCATTATGACAAATTCCTGGAAGTGGAATTTTTGAATCAAAGAGTATACGTGTTTCACAATTTCATAGATAAGTTAAATAAGTTACCTTACAGGCATAATGGAATGCAGCCCTTAAAAAGAATGAGTTAAATCTAAAGTATTGATATTTTTAAATGTCCACAGTATATTATTAAATCGAAAAAGGAGTTACTTCACACTGTAAAATACCACTAACATTTATATAAAGACTAGAGGCCCAGTGCACGAATTCGTGCGCCAGTGGGGTCCCTCAACCTGACCTACGGGATCAGGCCAAAACTGGCTCTCTGACATCCCCCGAGGTGTCCCAGATTGCAGAAGGGCACAGGCCAGGCCGAGACCCCCCACCGGTGCATGATTGGGGCCGGGGAGGGATGCGGGAGGTTGGCCAGCTGAGGAGGGACTGTGGGAGGGCTCCAGGGAGTGTCTGGCCCGTCTCGCTCAGTCCTGATTGGCCAGACCCCAGCAGCAAGCTAACCTCCCTATCCCTATGGTCAGTGCATGTCATAGCTACTGGTCTACTGGTCGACTGTCTGCCCCTGGTGGTCAGTGCACATCATAGCGAGTGATTGAGCGGCCTTAGCATATCATTAGCATATTATGCTTTGATTGGTTGAACAGCTGACTGGACACTTAGCATATTAGGCTTTTATTATATAGGATGTATTTCAGAGAGGAAAATCTGGAATAATATATGTCAAACACTGATTAACTCGTTCATCAAATTTGAAGATTACTTTTTACATTATGTATGTAGTGCATTGATAAATTCATCTTGTAGAAATAAATTTGATACACAAACACTGTACCAAAATGTCCAAAAAGTTTTATTCACAAAAGCCCAAAACTTTAAACAATCCAATGCTCATCAACTGGTGAATGAATAGAAAAATTTGGTAACTCCACACAATGGAATACTACTCAGCAATAAAAAAGAAAAAACTATTGATGCATGATATAACTTAGATTAATCTCAAAATCATTATGCTAGGAGAAAGAAGCCACACACAAAAGACTACATACCATATGATTTCATTTATATGAAATTTTGGAAAGGGCAAAGCTATAGTGTTAGCAGATCAATGGTGGGCTAGGGGCTGTGAGGATGACTTATAAAGGAGTATGAAGGAACTTTTGGGGGCAATAGATATGATTGATATCATGATTCTGGTGTTGGCTACACTACTATATACATTTGTTAAAGTTTATTAAATTGTATATTTAAAATAGGTGAACTTCATTGCATGTAATTTTTATAGAGGTTTTTAAAAAATACCCACTTTTATTTTTTAATCTTTATTGATTTCAGAGAGGAAGGGAGAGAGATAGAAACATCAATGATGAGAGAATTATTGACCAACTGCCTCCTGCAGGCCCCACACTGGGGATCGAGCCCGCAACCCGGGCATATGCCCCGACCGGGAATCAAACCTTGACTTCCTGTATCATAGGTCAACCACTGGGCCATGCTGGCAGGGCTTAATACAGTGGATTTTTAAAGTACAGATAAAACTCTCTTTTGACTACCACTCCCAAACCAGGTTCCTTCACTCTCTGGGAAGGCTCCCTCCTCTCTCCATACAGGTTAAACAGGTAACCGCTAACTATCACTATTACAGATTCTACTTCAAGGTTCTTGAGCATTTACACATACACCCGGGGAAATCTACACTTTTATATTACTTTACAATACTGTCATTATTTGGCTTTTTCCACTAATTGTATCTTGGAGATCTTTTCATTAGAATTTATAGTTCTACATCATTCTAACTCTTGATAGTATTCCATAGTATGGATATACTATAGTTTATTCACCATCCCTCTATCATTTAGCCATATATGAGTGTCATGGTGTGCCAAATCCAGGGAATACCATGAAATATAAAAACGGACTAGCCTTGGCTGGGTGATTCAGTTGGCTGTTGTGGTTCATCAAAAAGGTTGCAGGTTCAATACTCATTCAGGGCGCATACCTAGGTTGTGGATTCATCTCTGGTCAGGGTGCTTATCAAGGAGGCAACCCATGGATGTTTCTGAGGGACATTTCTCCCATTGATGTTTCTCTCTCTCCCTCTTCCTCTTTCTCAAATCAATTAAACACACATACACATCATGTCCTTGGGTGGGGATTAAAAAACACACACAGAAAAAACAGACTAGAGTCCTGCCTTTTTTGTTTCTTAAATTATTTTGTTTTTTGGCAACAACTTAGCCATACAATTCCTCATTCAAAGTTTATAATTCACTAGTTCCAGTAATTCATAGAGCCATGTAACCATCACCATCATCAATTCCAGAACACTTTTATCACCTCCAAAAGAAACCCTCCACCCTTTTAGCTGTAATCCCCAAGCCTCCCATCCTTCCTACCCCTAAGCAACCACAAATTTGCTGTCTCCATAGATTGACTGTTCTGAACCCTTCATACAAATGGAATCATAGGCTATGTGGTCCTTTGTGACTAGATTTTCCCCCCACTTAGTATAAACTTCTCAAGGCTTATCTAGTTTGTAGTATATGTCAGTGCTTTATTCCTTTTTGTTGTTGAATAATATTCATTGTATGACTGTACTACATTTTGTTTACTCACTAGCTGATGGACATTTGAGTCATTTCCACTTTGGGCTATCTATATATATAAAAGCCTAAGCGACCTTTACGTCGGGATGGTAGCCAGGATGTGCACTGACCACCAGGGGGCAGATGCTTAATGCAGGAGCTACCCCCTGGTGGTCAGTGCACTCCCACAGCCAACCTCCCATCTCCCACGCCTCCCCCCTCCCCCCCTCCCCAATTGGGCCAGTCGCCCAACCTCCCAAGGTCCCTCCCCACAGCCGGTCAGATTGCTGGCCAGGCAGAGGGACCCCCCACCCGTTCATGAATTCATGCACCAGACTTCTAGTTATGAATAATGCTATGAGTATTTGTATGGACATATGTTTTCATTTCTCTTGACTATATACCTACGAGTGGAATTGCTGAGTCAAATGGAAAGTCTATGCTTAATTTTTTGAGAAACTGCCAGACTATTTCTAAAGTTCTTTTACCATTTTATGTTTCCATCAGCAGTGTATGAGGGTTGATTTATCTACATTCTTAACACTATCTTTTTATTTTAGCCATCTTAGTATCAAATTGGTATATCACTGTGGTTTTGATTTGCATTCTCATAACTGACGGTTATTTAAACTTCCTTTTAAAAATTTTGTCTTTTTTTTAAATTATATTTTATTGATTTTTTACAGAGAGGAAGGGAGAGGGATAGAGAGTTAGAATCATCGATGAGAGAGAAACACCGATGAGCCGCCTCCTGCACACTCCCTACTGGCGATGTGCCCGCAACCAAGGTACATGCCCTTGACTGGAATCGAACCTGGGACCCTTTAGTCCGAAGGCCAACGCTCTATCCACTGAGCCAAATCGGTTAGGGCTTATCTTTATTTTTCAGAGTATTTCAGATACCCCTTCTTAAAGATTTCAGACAAGTGGGCGAAAGGAGGGTTGTCAATAGTTAACATTAAAAGTCAGGTCTTAACTAGGAAGAGCGGTTATGATTCTTTGAGTGGGAGTGATTTATCTAGTCAGTCAAGGAAGTCTTTCCAAGGGAGTTGAAATTGAAACAGATCTTCAGAGCGGGTGAGCATCCTAAACTGCTCCAGCAATTGGGGTCTCTGTGGGAAGTGGCGAAGATTACCGGGAACTTGTTTTTTCATACTCTCCCCCCCCCCTCCCCCACAAGACGTATGCCTTATTTTGATTCAGGAAAACATTAAGATCATAAATATATTTAAATTGAGAAGGCTTCCCACTTCCTCAACTTAAGAAATCAATCTTACATGCTTCTGGGAGACAGAAAAGTAAGCCTTACTCATTGGCTTCTCTTAAGAGCTGAACAGTTGTTGAAAATAGGAGTTCTCTTGTCTTGACCTAGGATTAGGGATCTTCAGTATGACCTCGCCTGGGGGGTCGAAGAGGCAAACCTGGCTTCCTCAGCGGTTGCCACCGGTTCTCCGCCGGCTCGTCCTCCACTAGGGAATGATCCGGTCCAGCGCGTGCAACGTGTTCGTTGGTGGGACCGGGGAATCCCCAACACGCGTAGCATTGGAGGACGACGCCCAAAAGGCATAGAGAACGAAGTTAACTGCCTCCCAACCCGCAAGGCACAGCCCACCTTTCCGGAAGCAAGGATGACAACCTCCGGGATGCACTTATCAGGCGGAAGGGTCTCGCTAAAGTCTGATTGGAAGTGACAAAGCGAGGCATTGTGGGACTTTGTCCCCCAGTACGCCTGTGCTAACCGGCCTCGCCCGCTTCCTGCAGCCACGTCCCGGAGGTGGCGGCGGCTGGAGATGCACGTCAGCAAAGCTGGCCCCTCCGGTGCGGGCGCAGGCGCAGTGGCTCGGGCAGTACCGGAAGCGCAGGGGGATGGGCCGGCGGTGACGCGATTCTGTCCGCGTTGGAGGGGCCGGGCCGCTGCCGGAGTCGCCGCGGCTGCCGAGTGACGTGGCACAGCCGAAGCCTTAACACTAGAGCCGGAGCCGCCGCAGCAGTCGTCGAGCAGGTCCGCGCCCCGCTGATTCCGGCCCCGGAGCGTCGTCCGGCGCGCCGGCTAGCGAGCCGTCCCTGCCGCCCTCTTTCTTCGTTAGCTCCTCTCCTTCTTGCTCAGCTTGCCGGGAGCGTGAAAAGAGAAGGCCGGGGGAAGCTCCGAACCCCTTTGCTCCTGCCCATCGCGAGTGCAACTACCGCCATGGGCCTCACCATCTCCTCCCTCTTCTCCCGCCTCTTCGGCAAGAAGCAGATGCGTATTTTGATGGGTGAGTGAGCGATCGAGAGCGGAGTCCGAGCCCAGTGGGTGGCGGTCCCTGCGGTGGCGGCGGCGGCGGGGCCCGGTTTTGCCTCATTTTGCCGCGGTGGGGGAGGGGCGGCGGTTGGGGATCGGGCGGAATTCTTAAGGGGGAACAATGGGGTGAAGGGTGGGTGGTGGTCCCAGACCTGTCCGGGAGGCCCTGTAGCGGCGTGGGCAAGGCTCCCTCCTCCTGCGTTTGGCTTCCTCTCCTTGATCTCACTGAAGGCCAACAAGGTAGGGCGGAGAAGCGACCTGGGATCTCGCGGGGCCCCCCCAGAGTGCGATCTGGCTCCCCGCTTCCCCGGGTGTGGGCAGCGGTCGGGAGGAGGCAGAGCGACTCCAGCCCTCCCCGCCCCCCTTTCCGCCGGTGCACACCCTGCACCCTGCGCCTTGCACACGCCAGTGGTATGTGAGCGAGCGGTCGCCGAGCCCGGGGCTGGCCGTGGGCGGAAGTGGCCGGCTGGGCGCGGGGGCCCGGGAGCGCCCGAGGGTTCAGGAGCGGCCGGAGTCCTCTGCTCGCTTCGCTCAACTTGGCTTCGCGCTGGGTTTCGCTTCGTATTTTTCCTTGTCCTCGTTAGTAGCCCTGCAAACGGAGTTTTTCATGAATATGTTCCTTTTAGCCACTCTCAAAAACTAAAGGTGTTTGATTCACTCTCTTTGGTTTTCAAACTGATTTTTATTGGTAGTTTTATTAGCCCTAGGTTTAATGGGGGTCGGGAGGAACTTTTAGAAAGTAATTTTCTTAAGCCGATAACAAGTTTTCAAGTAACTGAACTTTATGACGCTTAATTTTAGGGTAGTCTTCTTAATAATGACAAAGGTGTTCTTTTTAATTCTTTCGGGAAATAGGCTTTTGGAAACCTGCTTTTCAGGGTCATTTTTCGCTCAGCGGAGGGAGAAGGGACTTGTCATTGGAGGGAAGTAAGCAGCCCCTTCCGGGTAGCGCTGTAGGGAGTCTTCACTGTAGCTAAGCTCCGTGGACCCCGGGAATGCTAAAAGGTGCCCCTCTAACTTTAAAACTGAAACCTGGTTCATTACCTGTTTTCTAGAGAGTGGAAGGGGTAAAGGTTTTATTTTCAAGTTGTACCCTTGAAAGTTTTCCAAAGCAAGGTTCAGTAATATTTCAAGGTGTATTAAGATGAAGGGTAAACACATTTGGTTCTTTTTTTTAACTTCTCTGTTAAGCTTCTGACTTCTTCACAATTCATGGGACAATTGTTAATGAAACATTCACAAAGGAAAATTAAAATATTTTCTCTTTCAAAGTGTTTCTCGGATTTCATTTTTGAAGACAAAATTTAGGAGGGCAAGCATGTTATTTAGGCTTTAAAAGTCATTGAAAAATGGCAGTCTAAAAAAGTATCCGAAGTTAATGAGAGAACTTTGGACTGTGATAAATTAATTTTCAGCCTGTTCCTTAAAGAGATGAACTATTACGACCTTGTGTTCCTGGAAATGTATGTTTGGTCCTTTTACTGAAGATTGTTGGAAGTAAATTGCTGTTTTTCATTTCATTAATCTTTGTGATGGCTACAGGTTAAGAGGGGAAAGAGCAGTAGAATTATGCTATAAGTACTTTACTATGTTTACTATATTAGGGGAGCATTTCTTTCCCTCCTCAAAAATGATGGAAAGAAAATGGAAGAGGAAAAGTATTTAACTTTGTGCATTTGTGCAGGGCGTAGAAGTCATGATTTGGAATTATTCATTTATTACTCAGGTTTGCTATTGCTTTGCATTATATTTTCAGGATAATTAGGTTCCTTGATTAAAAATACTTCAGTCACAAGGACAACTTTTAGGTAACTCATCAAATGAAGTATAACCATATGATGGATAGAAAAATAGGTGATTAGAAAGTTTGATAATTCCTAGAAATTTTTGTTCAGCTTTCTGAGTGACAGCATAAATAGTAGACACTCAAGATGTCTGCCTTTATTGAAGTATTAGAATTAATACTCAGCTATTAAGTCTGGTTTGCCACATTACTGTGGAGAATTTTAAGTTTTATTCCTATATCCACTCTCCCAAAAGTTCAAGTAATTTAAAAAGGTGTTTGGTTGAAGTTACAGCTTGCAGTAAACTAGTTAAAAACAGTATCAGATTTAAAGTAATTTAAACTATAGATTGACAGAAATTCGTCAATCATAGTTTTTCCCCTCGAAGGAGAAATTGCTCCTGCAACTAATATGAGCTTAAATTCAGAGTTTCCAACTTTTATCTCTCCTGTAGCCCTGCATTATGCTATTTTATGTAGGATCAACATATTTTGATCTGATAATACGTAATAAGTAAACGGCCCCCCCCCCCCCACATTTTGTTTATGTCTGAAAACGACCAATGTGTTCATAGAGGAATTACTAATTCTATTCTCTGAACTTGCAAGTTCTTGACAGTTGAAAATTTGAAAAACGTTCCTTTCTAAAAGATTGCTAATACCAGTTAAGTTCTGCCTTTCCCTTATATTTTGACTATTTTTTGGGGGGTGGGGACCGGATAGGTTTAGGAGGAAGGATCCCCTGATGGTCAAACTTCTGAGTAATTAGATGAAATATTAAGGTAGATTGTGTCCACCAGAAGAATATAAAGGCAGAATGGCAGTGTACAAATACTATTTGAGAGCTCTGGCATCAGTCTAGTTGTTTTTGTTTGTTTTGTTTTATTTTTAATTTAAAAATTGAGATGTAATTCACAAAACATGTAATTCATCCCTTTAAAATGTACAGTTCAGTGGTTTTTAGTATATTCACAAAGTTGTGTAACGATCACTACTTTATTAATTCTAGAACGTTTCTATCAGCCCAGAAAGAAACCCTATACCCCCAAAAGTCTGTCATTGCCCCATCCCCCAATTCCTCTTGCAACCACTCATCTACTTTACTTTGTTTCTATGGGTTTGTCTACTTAGAATATTTTGTATAATGGAGTCATACAATATGTGACCTTTTTTTTTTTTTTAAATATTCAGAGAGAAAGGGAGAGAGAGAGATAGTTAGAAACAGCAACCAGAATCATTGATCAGCTGCCTCCTGCAGACCCCCCACTGGGGATGGAGCACAACCCTGGCATGTGCCCCTGACTGGAATTGAACCTGGGACTCTTTACTCTTTAGTCCACAGGCCGACGCTCTATCCACTGAGCCAAACCAACTAGGGCCAATATGTGACCTTTAGTGTCTAGCTTCTTTCACTTAGCATCATGTTTTCTAGGTTTATCCATATTATAGCATGTATCAGTACTTCATTCCTTTTTATGACTGAACAATAATTCTGCTGTATACATAATACTACAGTTTGTTCAGATTGGGTTGTTTGATGGAAATGGGGTTGTTTTCACTTTAGCTATTAAAAATAATACTGTTATGAACATTTGTGAGTTTTTGTTGGGGGCATATGTTTTTTATTCTCTTGGGTAAATAAATACCTAGGAGTGGAATTGTTGGGTCCTGTTAACTATGTTCAACATTCTGAGGAACTGCCAAACTGTTTTCCAAAGCAGCTATGCCATTTTACATTCCCACTAGTATGAGGGGTTTAATTTCTCCACAAGACCCAGGGGTTGAATTATCTGTTCTCCATTATTCCTGTGATTCTGGGGACATTACTGAACCTCAGATGCTTCATCTGAAAAATGGAGGGTTATTGTCCCCACAATTTTTAATTTTTAAATTATAAAAATGGATGCAACCATCTAGAGATATGGATGGAACACAGTAAAGACTCAATGTTAAGTTATTATGAAGTTGTATTTCAATCTTCTTTGTAAGAAAATTTGAAAGATAAAGGAAATAAAAGTATCTGAAATTTTACTTTTTTTCTTCCCCGTTTTTTTCTTTCTGCATTTGTTTTTTTCTCTAAGTTGAGATCATTGAAATCTAGCTTAATTTAAAATATAAATATTTCTTGCTGCCACAGTTTGGTAGACAAACTTTTTAATGATTGACAAAGATTTTGGGGGTTAATTTTGCTGCTAACACTTTGGTCAAAGTGTGAGTCCAGTAAGGAGAACAAGTAATTCCAGTGTATCTTTCAATACAGTGAGTTGTTTATGGGGGTGAGAGGGAGGGAGGACATAACTGGACTGTACAGATTAGAGTCTTATCTTGGCTAGTTAAAAATTGGTTATAATTTTCATTTTGTGGAGAAGTCTCATTACCAAACATTGGAACATTAAGAAAGTACAAACTCAAGAAATTATTAAAATAGCACAATATTGTTAGACCAACATGTTTTTGAGTAAAGACCTGTATAATGAGTTTTAAATGATGGTAAACATTAATGTGTGCATCTTAAATTGTATAATAGAAATATCTTTTTAAGAAACTTTTGGTTTGCATATATATATATATATATATATATATATATATATATATAGCACTATCATTTTGGGTTCAACTCAAATGATATCTTCATGATTTTAGAAACTTCTATGTGGCTGCAAGTCATTTAAATATTGTCTTAATAGTTTTTATTTTAAAAATAACGTGGTTGCTTAAAAAACCTAATGGTTGCACTATTTTGTAAACTCCTTTTTAAATATATACATATTTTATTGATTTTTACAGAGAGGAAAGGAGAGGGATAGAGAGAAACCTCAGTGAGAGAGAAACATGAATCAGCTACCTCCTGCATGCCTCCTACTGGGGATGGAGCCCACAACCAAGATACATTCCCTCAACCGAAATTGAACCTAAGACCCTTCAGTCCACTCTATCCACTGAGCCAAACTGGCTAAGGCTGTTCTTTTTTTAATGAAAGTAACACGTGTTTATTGTGTTACCAAAAAAAATTAACAATATGAAAGTAGAATAGTAATTATGCATACAGGCAGGTATAAAGTTTTTATTAAAATAAAAATTAGATTACTGTAACGTAAAGTAATTCTGTTTTCTCCCATTCCTTGTCAATATTTTTGAATTGACATTGTTTTTAAATGGCAGTATGAGGTTCATTTGGACCCCAATGAGGAGTGGCATGTGTCATAGTTCTCAAACTGTAACTCAAGTATTTTTCCTAATCACCATCTCAATTTCAATTCTTCTGACTTGTACCTAATCGTATTTGGACTTAGTTAAAGGGGACTTTTGCTTTATTTTAAAATTTGATCAGAATCACGAGTGGCATTTATGCTCTCAAGAGACAGCTTTTTTCCAACAATGAAAAGATTATATGTTATTCCCATTTTCTGTATTGTTGCTGAAGATCTGTGTTGTTTTGTTTGTTTTTTTGTTTTGTTTTGTTTTTCCTATTTTTTGGTAATGTTCCATACACAAAAAAACAAAACACTTCCTGGTAGCAATTGATTTTTCTTATGTCCATGAGTGAGGGCTGAGAGTGGGCTGCTCACGCTGTCTAGTAAGTGTTAGTATTTTGGAAAGAATAAACCTGAACCCCAGTATGAAGAAGTAGAGACCAAAGTTTTATTAGAGGACATAGGAATAAGAAGATTTAAGATGTCAGAGTTTCCAAAAAATCTTAAAGCTACCCTTTTTTCTGCCAACGGCCATTTAGATATTTATAACATTATTCACGGGCCATACAAAATTATCAACTTCTACTAAGTTAACTCATCCCTAATGCCTTGGCAGGGCCAGACCAAATGACTTTGAGGGCCTTATACGGACGGACGTTCTCCACCCCTGCTTTATAGGGAACAAAGCAGAAAGGGTAGGAGTATGAGTTGCCTATAGCCTTTAGCTCTGTTTTTGAAGTAACTGATCAAAATTAAACTTACTTGCACGGGAATGTGATATCCTTACAGCAATGGTCCATTCAATGAGATTATTAGATACTGACCTTCCTTCCATTTATGAAGACTTTAGCAAACAATGTAGAATATTCAGGTTTTGAGAGATTCATACTTAAAATAAGCATTTAATTTGTTCTTCACTATCACTGTAATAAAGTGGTATGACTTCTTGTTTTAATAGGAATTTTTTTCAGAAACCACATTCTTCCACACTTGTCTATGCCTCAAGGAAGCATTTTAAGAATTTAGACATATGTTGGAGATGAATATGATAGGGTCATTTTTACAATTCATATTAACCAGTCTTTTATTCTCATTTCTGCACATTTGACGTTGAAATGAACGTAAGTAGGAGTAAAATTGGCCTTATCTTCCTTTGGAAGTCATTTAAAGAGATTAGGACATAGTATTGAGTTTACTAATCTTAAAGTTCTTTATTCACTTGTTCTTTTGTGTTCTGATTCAATTCTAATTTGTGTTTTTTAAAATGGTAATAGGTCATAGAAATAATACAGATGAGTTGGAGGAGATCATAAATTATCTGATCCAGTGTCCTTATTTTATAGCTAATTTCTCTGGCTTTAGTTTCCTAAAGTGACCTGTTTAAAGGCACTTGACTAGTTTATGGCAAAGCAAATCTAGAAATTACTGCCTGAATCAGCCAGATACTATTTTCTTTTCACTACTACATGCTATCTCTTTAGGTCTAGAAAGACAAAGTGAAATCAGAAATGAGGTGATTTTATTTCTAACTCATTTGTGCCTTGACCAGTCAACTTTAGCTTTCAAACTATATATTTGTTGCAAAATAATTTCTTAGTGTGTGCTTTTGGTCTAGATTTAAAACCTGTGATGTCTTTTCTAGTTGGATTGGATGCTGCTGGCAAGACGACCATTCTGTATAAACTGAAGTTAGGGGAGATAGTCACCACAATTCCTACCATTGGTAAGAAAGTTTACAGGTGATTATTATAAAGTGAAATAGAATAGAGCTTAATTTTGAAACTGCCTTATATTTAAAGACTTTGTTTTTAGAGCAGTTTTATTTTCACAGAAAAATTGGGAGGTATCCCAAATTATCCCTTCCCCCATAGTCAGCATCACTCACTAGAGCAGCGGTTCTCAACCTGTGGGTCGCGACCCCTTTGGCGGTGGGACGACCCTTTCACAGGGGTTGCGTAAGACCATCCTGCATATCAGATATTTACATTACGATTCATTACAGTAGCAACATTACAGTTATGAAGTAGCAATGAAAATAATTTTATGGCTGGGTCACAACATGAGGAACTGTATTTAAAGGGCCAGAAGGTTGAGAACCACTGCACTGGAGTGATACATTTGTTACAGTTGATGAACCTACATTTTCACATCATAATCACCCAAGGTCCATAGTTTACCTTTGGGTTCACTTTTGGTGTACATTCTGTCTAAACAGATGTACAATGACATGCATTCATCCTAACTCCTTGATTTTTAAGTTTGTTGATTATTTAGTGGGACTTTAAAAAAGCAATTCTGAGATAATTCCACAGTAAAGGGGTTTATTTTCTTACTGACATTTGCACAACAGTCTTTTTGGTTTTTCTCTTTGTAGGTTTTAATGTGGAAACAGTAGAATATAAGAACATTTGTTTCACAGTATGGGATGTTGGTGGTCAAGATAAAATAAGGCCTCTCTGGAGGCATTACTTCCAGAACACCCAGGTAAGGAATGCTATACATTTTTTATAACTTTTCTTTATAGGTTTCATGTATGTTAATTTTTACTGTTTAACTGGCTGTTGGTATTTACTATATGAGTTGGCATTCTTCTTATCACTACCATATTCGTCAGTGAACTCTCAAGCTTTTGAGGCTACATTACTGAGGGTGGAAGAGTTACATAGCTGTCATAGTAATATTTTTAAGTGTGTGGGTTATTCTCAAGATTGAATTAGCTGTTTCGGCAGTAGTTCTATTGGTTTCATTCTTAGTCTAGAAAGTAAGATCTGTATAACTTTCTGTCATTATAGTTTTTAATGAATGTAAGACAATCGTTCTTCATTTACCCCAGTTAATTGTTTACTTTACTAAAATACATTACAACCCTGCCCGGGTGGCTCTGTTGATTGGAGCATGTTCCCTACACCAAAAGGTTGCTGGTTCAATTCCCATTTGGGGTGTGCACAGAAAGCTACCGATCGATGTTCGCGCTCTCTCTCTCTCTCTCTCTCTCTCTCAAAATCAAAAATAAATCCTCAGGTGAGAATTTAAAAAAATTCTAAAAAAAAAATGGCATTACAAAAATATATTAAGGTTAATCTGCCCTGCTGATTTGTAAGATAGTTTTATATTACTGTGTAGTATATGTAAATAACACATGGAAGAGACATTAGCGCAGAAGTTCTTAATTTGGCTGCACATTGGAGTAACTTTCAAAATCCTAAAGTCCTGATCATAACTCCAGACCACTTGAATCAGAATTTCTGGGAATATAAACTAGGCATTAGTAGTGCTTCTCAAACTTTAATGTGCCTATTAATTATCTGGGTCTTTGCTAAAATACAGATCAATTCACTAGGGCTTGGCTAAGTAACACACCTGAGGTTTCTAGCAAGTTCCAGGTAGTGGTTCTGATGCTGCTGTTTGAGATCTTACTTTGCAGAACAAGGCTCCAGTACAGAGTAATTCAACAGCAGCACTGTTGACATTTCGGGTGGAATAATTCTGTTGTTGGGTGAAGGGAGAGCTCTCTTTTGCATGGTAGGATGTTTAGCAGCATTCCTGGCTTCTACCCACTAGGTGCCATAGCAGTACCCTCCTTCCCCCCAACCCAATTGCAACAACCTAAATTGCTCCCTCTTGAAAACCACTGCTCTAGTCTTACTCTTATATGTAAGGAAACTGAAGCTTGGAATGACTTACCTAAGACTGGAGAGCTGGTTCTTGTGCTACATTTCTATTTAACCTGCTTCCAGCTCTGTTGTGTTTCCGAGGTAATGTGCGATGTTAACAAGCACTTCATATGTTTAAGATTTGCAGATAGCAGTTATTCTTGGTCTCCAGCTCTTATAGCATTGTATACAAGTGAGGTACATTGCCACCTGGTGGCAGTGAATACCCTAGCAACCAGGTTTAAGTAGTATATTCTGTTAAGTAAGTAGCTTGTTTATTTATTTATTTAAAAATTAGAATGTGCCCAGCCGGGTTGCTCAGTGGTTGAGCATCCACCTATGAACCAGGAGGTCATGGTTTCTCAGTCAGAGTATATGCCTGGGTTTCCGGCTCCATCCCCAGTAGGGGGCATGCAGGAGGCAGCCAATCAATAATTCTCCCTCATCATCGATGTTTCTATTTCCCTCTCCTTTCTTCTTTAAAAAATTAGAATGTTTCTGTTCATTAGCATAGCTGTGGTTAGAAAAGATATTTTGATGAGTCATATGCTTTAAAAATAAATCTTATTATGTTCTAAGTAAAACTTTGTTAATCTTAAGCCTTATAATTTTTAACCAAGGGTAGCCCTGGTTTTATCCCTAGATTTGTTTAGCATGCTTGGTAGTTTACTTTGAGATCTTTTTTTATTGGGGGGGGGGGCGGGCGGGTAGGTACCAAATTACTTTATTTGAAGGAATGGTACAAATGAAAGACATGAATGAATAATTTGGTACAAGTTATAGAAAAGGGAAGGTAACTCCAACATGCATGTACTGCTTTGGTGACCAGGGAAGTCACCTCTGTGACTATGGGAAGCCAGCCTACGGCTGAGCTGTCATCACTGTGTCCCAGGGTGTGCTTATCAAAGAGATACTCTGCCATGCCCGTTTCAAGGGCCTCCCAGCATGTGCAAATTAGTTACAAGGTCTTAATTTGAGATTAGATCCATTCCTGACCTCTTTGGATTACCTTAAATCAAAAGTCCAAGTACTTCTTCCTAGGGACCTCATGCCTGCTGGAGAAAGCTTTATGTGTTACCTGCTAATAACAGCTAAGCTGTTACAGCGAGATTTGCCAGCACTCCTGACCAGTTCTTTCAGCTATAAAATTTAAAAGAAACTGATGCCATGATTTTAACTTGTGTTAACAATCCAGGACACAGTGTTTATTGTAAATTCCTCTTCCCTCACTAGACAATTCCAATTATTTTGTTCTAAACAATTAAATAAATATTTAGCCATTTAAGTAATCTGTAATAGCCAGACCTATCTTTAGAATTTTACCTTTTCTACACTCTTGATTCTAGGCTGTCCAAGGAAGTGAATAACTTATAATTTATTTCTAAAATAATTCTCCCCTCACAATAATACTATTTTGGGACTGATAGCATTACTTATATTTTAAAACAATAAAAATGGGTTGATAGAACAGAAAAAAAAGTAGATCATTTTAGAGGTATTAACTCTTCTAGAGGGGATAACTAGTAAGTAGTGCTGAGATCTGAATTTGGGTATTTTTATACTATGCCATACTGGCTCTCCTAGTACCAAAAGTTTTTTTTAAAGGTTAGGATGTTTAAAATGATTGTTTACACCTGGCCAATGTTGCTCAGTTGTTGAGCCTCAACCTATGAAAAGGAGGTCAGTGTTCAATTCCCTGTCAGGGCACATGCATGGGTTTCAAGCTCAATCCCCAGTAGTGGGTGTACAGGAAGCAGCCAATCTATGTTTCTCTCCTTCTCTCTTCCTCTCTAAAATCAATTTTTAAAAAAAAGTATATAAAAAGGATGGTTTCTAACAGACATAAAGGAAATGGGTTTGAAAGTTGCTAGATCAAAATGATATTATGTCATTTAACATCCATAGCCTAAAATAACTATTAAGTACCCTGGCAAACTCAGTGTAATACTTAGGAGTAAATACAAAGTGATGTAGACCTTTGTCCTCAGTGGATTTAATCTAGTTACTTACATAAGTAATAACACAAGACAGTTTGTGATAAAAGTGACACATGATCATAAATATTCTGTGATCAGGGTTGTGGGGAGAACATTCAAAGTAATCACTTTTGTATTAATAGGAATAGATTTTAATAAAGCTATAAAATTAATCTGCCCTCTCTCAAGTTGAAAACTTTTTTATATTTTCCCATTTGAAAGTTTTTAGAAAAGTCTTAATTCAAAGAACTTCCCAATTCCATTTCTTTTGTAGTATAAAATTCTAATATTTGTAAATATCTTTAAGAATGATTACTACCTTCCTTCTTATTAAATATTTCTTACTTGATCAAGTCAACCATGAATTTTAGATATATTTTGCTTAAAATTTCCTTACCCTGGTTGAGTTGGTGGGCAACATTCTAGAGCAAGGCTAAGTTTTCCTGATGAAGCATGCCTCTTCTCCCTCTATTTTTTTTTTTTTTTAACACTGTGTACTTTCAATAAATCCAGTTAGTAAATTTATGAATCTTTGGCTTATTCTTTTCCTTTTGTCCCCACTTGTGGTCATTTTGTTACTTAAATTTATCTGGACTTAAACATGCAAGGGCACAGGGAAGGGAGTGGGGTAAAATTTAGTTTTAGCGCAACTGAGAAAAGATTTCATTTGGTTAAGAGTGTCATTTCTTTTGATTTAAAATAAAATTTCAAATGTTGAAGTAAAAAATAGTGCTCAAATTTGTTTTTAGAACTTAGAGCCCTGTTCTTTTTCTATTATTTTTTAAATAATGGGACATTTTCTTCTCAACATTTGGCTCTTGATATGGTTTTGCTGCTTATGCTTGTGTTTCATATTTAGTGTGTCCTTTAAATTTAACTGTCATAATTTATTTAAACAATTTTTTTTCAGGGTCTTATTTTTGTGGTAGATAGCAATGATCGTGAAAGAATTCAGGAAGGAGCTGAAGAGCTGCAAAAAATGGTAAGAATACATTTTTTTAATTTATCATTTCCAGGATGCATTTTTTCCTAAGTGACAGTGGTGATGTCAGTGTTTGGCACATTTTAACTGTGATTAGATTACACAAGTAAGACTTTTTAGGGCAGAAAGAACTATCATCACAGGTTCTTAAGAATGCATATATGGACACAGACACCAGGGGGTGAGGGCATGAGTGGGGGGAGCGAAAGAGGGGGATGGAAATGGGGGGATAAGGACACATATGTGGTACCTTAATCAATAAAGAAAAAGAAAGAATGCATATAATATAAAAATCTCCTATAGAGTTTTTTTTTGTTTTTTGTTTTTTTAACCCACACACACAGAAGAGAAACTACTTAGGAGGCTGGGAGAAAAAGCCCAGCTTGTTTTTAGAACGCTCCGTGACTGCTTTTGATGCATGTCTCTGATTGAGGATGTTTACATTAGTCACTCTCTTATTTTATAGGTATAACATTTGTAGTTGTGATACTTTATGGGTGGGATGCTGGTTCAGATTCCTTGCTCCTAAGGTCATTGAGTTTAGTTTTTTCTATATTGTGCCTACAATGTATACTTTGAAATGTTTTGTAATAGTAACCATGATAAAGAATCCCGGGGAAGGTAGTAGGATTTTGGTTGACAGTGGCATCTTGGCCTGCCCATATATTGGGTTAATGTTTTCATTTGTCTGTTTGCTAAAAAGCCAGGGCGGGGTGGGGTTGTTGAGGAAACTTGCCATGGTTTCAAATTATGGCCATAAAACATTTACTGAAATGAAATCTTCATTCTCATTTATTGCAATCTGTAAAACCATTTTGTCAGTGTATGTGTAACTAAATAACTGCTGGGGTGGTTTTTTTCTTTTTTTGTCTGATGAGTTACATATCAACCCTTCTCTTTTTGTAAATAGTTTTGAGATAAAAGTCACATGCCATGAACTTCACTCATTTGAAATGCACAAGTTAGTGGTTATTAGTTTACAAAATGTTACAGCCGTTACCACAGTCTAATTTTAGAACATTTTCATTGGCCCATAAAGAAATCGTAGAACATTTATTATTTATTCCCCATTCCTTTCCCCACTCTACCCTACACCCCTAGCTCTGACATCCACTAATCTTCTTTCTGTCTCTTTATACATATGCCTATTCTGGACATTTATACAATTGGAATCATGCAATATGTGGTCTTTTGTTAATTTTTAAAATTTTTTACTTTTCACTGAGCATAAGTTTTCAAGGTTCATATTGTATCATGTATCAGAATCTCATTTTTACGGTCTTTCTACTTTTGGTGGTATTCTTGCATTTTTTATGATATTGTTAATATCCTAATCATTGTATTGTTGTCCCACTGTTGTCTAGTTCAGCTGGCTAGAAAGGATAAAAGTCCAAAAAGAATCATTATCTAAATAGTTCTACTACTAAGTACCATAAGGTCCTGTCATAAATATTTATTGCCATATGTGTTTTTTGTCCTTGCCAGTCTTACCCTCAATGTATGATCATGAAGACTGAATAAATGTTTTACCTTAATGGAGTATAGCATGGTTGGCTTGAAAAAGTTTTGCTTTACTTGAAGGCATATAATTATTTGCTCAGGATTTAAAAACTGAAGGATAAGATCCCACTTCTGGGAATATATCCTAAAACCCCTGAAACACCAATCAGAAAGAATATATGCACCTCTATGTTCATAGCAGCATTATTTACAATAGCTAAGATTTGTAAACAGCCCAAATGCCCATCAGTAGAGGAATGGATAAAAAAAAAAAGCTGTGTTACACCCTAGCCAGTTTGGTTCAGTAAATAGATGGTCGGCCTCTGGACTGAAGTGTTCCGGGTTTGATTCAGGTCAAGGGCACATGCCTTGGTTGCAGGCTCGATCCCCCAGCCAGGTTGGGGCATGTTTCGGAGGTAACCAATTGATGTCTCTCTCTCATCTCAATTTTTCTCTCTCTATATCTCTCCCTTTCCATTCCACTCTCTAAAACGGGTCCTCAAACTGCGGCCCGACGAAAACATTTATCTGGCCCGCCGGGTGTTTTTGCCGCCGCTGTGTGCATAGGAATTTGTTCATAGTTTTTTTTTAAACTATAGTCCAGCCCTCCAACAGTCTGAGGGACAGTGAACTGGCCCCCTGTTTAAAAAGTTTGAGGACCCCTGCTCTAAACTCAATGGGAAAATATCTTTGGGTGAGGATTAACAACAAAAAATCTGTTATATTTACATAATGAAATACGCAGTTGTAAAAAAGAAAGGTCTCTTACCCTTTGAGACAGCATGGATGGAACTGAAGACTATTATGCTAAGTGAAATAAGCCAGTCAGAGAAAGACAAATACCACATGATCTCACTTATTTGTGGAATGTAATGAACAAAATGAATTTACCAACAAAATAAGACTAGAGGATGGAGGCATGGAACAGACTGACATATCTCTGGGTGGGAGGAGGGGGGATAAGAGATAAACCAGAGAACTTAAATACTTCTATGCATAGCACTTGGACACAGACAATAGTGTGGGTGACTGTCTAGGGCAGTGGTCGGCAAACTCATTAATCAACAGAGCCAAATATCAACAGTACAACAATTGAAATTTCTTTTGAGAGCCAAATTTTTTAAACTTAAACTATATAGGTAGGTACATTGTTATTAACTTAATTAGGGTACTCCTAAGGATTAGGAAGAGCCACACTCAAGGGGCCAAAAACTGTGGCTCACGAGCGCAGTTTGCCGACCATGGGTCTAGGGCAGTAGAGGCTGGGTGGAAAGGGGTATAGGAGGGGAAAATGGGAGATACCTGTAATACTGTCAACAATAAAAAATATATTTAAAAAATAGCATAGGCATACTTACAAATAAAATATATATAAGTACTGGAAGAAACCCCTCAACAACTGAAGGATAAGAGATTTAAGTTGTAGGAATACCTTAACTTTGTGTAGAGAAATTGGGTTGATATTTAATAAATAATATATATAGGAAGACAGTGTTTTATTTAATTTGTTACAATAATTGAATTCCAGTTTTATAGTTGTTAATGTCTTAGCTTTTATTTTCAGCTTCAGGAAGATGAGTTGCAAGATGCAGTGTTGCTGCTTTTTGCAAATAAACAGGATTTGCCAAATGCTATGGCCATCAGTGAAATGACAGATAAATTAGGTCTTCAGTCTCTTCGTAACAGAACAGTAAGTATTTGGCTTATATTAACTTCTTGACTATTAGACTTATTAGGATAATTGTTTTAGTTAATATTTAGTTTAAAAATTTATTAGCTAGTTGTCCCCTTTGAGCAGATAATGAACACATTATTTTACTATAGTTTACTCTTGCTTACACAAATATGACCCCTTTCAGGCATTATTTCATACTGTTATAAATGTGTTCAGTTTTACTTTAAAGAATGCTGATACCTTCTCCATTTTTTTTTTAGCTTTTAATAAATATTCGTTAAGGATCCAAAGATTTAAATATCTTTATTTTATTTAATGTTTGTTACCTTTATCCTCAAAATGTTTAGTATTGATAAATATGTAGAAAACTGTTCTATGTAAATTGTAATACTAAAAAATTATTGATATTTTAAATTTTATATCTTTTAAATAACAGGCAAATAATTCGTAATTTTGTTTTTAGGAGCCATATTTTAGATAATATTGTTTTGTACCGTAATATCAAAAGCTTGTGGGGCACCTGGCCGGTGTGTCTCAGAGGTTGAGTGTTGACCCAGGAACCAAGAAGGTTGCTGGTTCAATTCCTGGTCAAGGCACATATCCAGATTGTGGGCTCAACCCGCAGTAGGGAGCATGCAGGAGGCAGCCTATACATGATGTTCCTTTCTCATCGATGTTTCTATCTCTCTAAGTTTTTAATTTAAAATTACAAGAAATATTCCCTCTCTAACAGCTTATTTTATATCCGTGATTTAAATATTGGCAAAACACAACATGCAGTTTTATATGTAAACATGATATCACAAACTATTAGTGTGGCTTGTGCTTTACAATAGTTTTTTATTAGCTTGTCAGCAAGGCAAACATTGTACTGTGGCAATAATGTAAAGACTGAGATGTTCCAGGCTGATTTAAATAAAATAAATTGCAAAGGATACCAGTTTTCCATGCTATATGAATTTATGCCTTTTCCCAGCCTTCTGGGGTGTTTGATATTCAAATAATACTTGGCAACATTGTATACTTTCAGTGGTGTTGCAATATTAAAACAAGGTCTTTAAGGCAAAATAAAACGTGAATAAAGAAATTAATAAAAATAAATTATCCCGTATAAATAATTAAATTGCTTTCTAAGTCTTTTTGTATTTGTAACTTTTCATGGCAGTACATAGAGTTACTAGAGAAAAGATTCATTACCAATTTTAAAAAGTAGAACTTTTTGGAATGCATAAGACTAAAGATAATGAAATTATCTGAAAAGCATGTCTCTAAAAATATCAACAAGCCCATACTCTAAAAATTTTGCCTCCTATATTCTGAACTTTTTTAAAAAGTGGGAAATAAGAGGGTTATAAGGAATAGGTGGGTAGTTTATTTGTTACTCATCTTCCCATGAATGTTCTTTTTAGATTAAGTAGTAGATAATTGGTTAAATTTAATGTGTGGGTAGAAATAGTTTTAAATGTGAGAGGAGTTTTTTGAGAAGCAAGAGTTATGCGAGAACTCCCAATCTATATATACAGTTACTGAGATCATTAAATATAAAAGTAATTACTTGAGTTGTAAAACTTTAATGTATTTACTCATTTATTCCTATGGTTTTGTGTATTTTGTTTGCTTTGTTTAAAAAAACTGATTTCAGAGAGAGGGATAGAACATCAATGATGAGAATCATTGATTGGTTGCCTCCTACACACCACTTACTGGGGATAGAGCCTGCAACCTGGGCATGTGCCCTGACCAACCTGGGCAGGTGCCCTGACCGGGAATTGAACTGTGAACTCCTGGTTCATGGGTTGACACTCAACCACTGAGCCACACTGCCGGGCTTATGTTTTCTTTTTTTCTGTACGTTTATGGAAACTGCTGGCTAAATAATACCCCTAAGCAATTGGGGGAAAATAATTTTCTGATTCAGGAATTTGAAACTCTGTGTTATACTTAGTCTCATGTTAATCACGTATTTTCTTGTTTTTTTCTTTGTAGTGGTATGTTCAAGCCACTTGTGCTACACAAGGAACTGGCCTGTATGAGGGACTTGACTGGCTGTCAAATGAGCTTTCAAAACGTTAAATGAAACTGGATATCTAATCAAGGACATGTTGGATAGAATTTGTCTAGGCTTGTTACAACAAAATTAGTTTGCATCTTGGTTATTAAACAGTATCTGGGACTGGTTTGGGCAGAATATTACAGCGTTTAAACTTATTTTGTTGCCAATTATTGTTTACCAAGTATAAATGTTGCACTTTAGCAATATGCTTGGTTTTAAAGAAATTATCTTTAACTTGGGGGGAAAAAGTGTCCTCTTTTAATTTTACTTCCCTTAAGCCTAAATGCCTGAACTTAGCTATTGTGACACCTTTAAATAAATCCATTTTGAATGTTTTTTGAGCCCACAAAAAATAATGTTTTAAAGTTATCCCCTTGCTACTTTACTGATACCTTTATCATTCCTGGGACAGTCTGCTGATTTAAAAATAAAATGTAGCATTCCATTTGTATTTATTTTCCTCCCTTGCCAAAAAGATTTTCTAATACTGCTTGTACCAGCCAGGGAAATGCTCCAAAACACTATTGAGATCTCTTGCACTGAGGAACTTACTACTCCTCCCTTCTCTCCCCCGATTATGACTCCTGGCTTCCATCAGCCAAGCTTACCTTGCTGTGGTTTGGATTCAATAGCTAATTAGTTCTATGCTGGTAGCAAAGAGTTCATATGGAGATGATTTTTAATACCCAGCAGATTGTCTTTCTTTATATTGTATCTTTTTTATGTTGCATGTTGCTTTTGGTATCAGCCTGACTCTTTGCCCAGTATATGATAGTTCTGCTGATGTTTTATTGTTTATTGGTGAACATATCTTCAGTAAGTTTTTGGAAAACTCATCAAACTCAAATGAATAAGTTTTCTTCATAACCCATTTGGAATTATTCCTAATAAAATGATAAAATATATATTTGTGTGTATTCTTTTTGAGTTTTAAAGATGTTTGACATGGATTTTCTTATTTAGTAAAGTTGATTTACATACTTTACACTGTGAAGAATAATACAGATCCCAGTGAAATTTACTAATTGTTTAAAATGAAACGTTGGGTTGCTATCGTGTGTATGACAGAGTGGGGAAGCAACTTTTAAAATTTAGTTTTATTTGATAAAATACCATTTTTGACACTGTACATTTCTAAAAACAGATCAAGAATAAAAAGCTATAATAAAATGAACTGCCCAAAAAGCATGTATGCATGTGCTTGCTTTACAGCTAAGGTTAGTTAAAAAAATGTAAGTGCTGTTTCATGGCAGAATACATAGACTATCAGTGATGTTGCTTTTCTACATAGGAGAAAAAAGTTCACAGCACTTTTCTGCTTCACGAATTTCGGAACTGCAGAGAGATTACATGTGACTAAGTTTTTGTTAAGACAATTAAGGTATATACCTCATTAACTACATCTATTAAGTTATTAGGGACTCCACTTGGTAACCTTATGAATAACTTTGTTTTTGTCTATAGTCTAAATTTCTTTGTATTTTATAAACCTTGGTTTTTTATGATTGTTAATGGCTTGCATAGATTTTGGTAAATTTGTGGATTGAAATTTTATTTTCAAAACCAAGCACATGCTTATAAAATAATGTATAGTTTTGAATAGTTAACAACAACAACAAAAAGTACTGGTTCAACTGAAAAGAAATTGGAATTAAGTAGTTGATTGTCAAACAGGTTACTGGGATAAAGCGTGTGTTTAACCTGTCACTTTGATATAAGTGCAACTTTCCTAGCCCACCAGATGAGTTCTCTCTTCTTCTCTCCAAATAAAAAAGGTATCATTTCTTTTTTTTTAAAATTAAATCTTTATTGTTCAGATTATTACATTAGTTACTCTTTTTTTCCCACCATAACTCCCCTCCACCCAGTTCCCACCCCACCCTCCGCCCTCATTCCCCACCCACTGTCCTCATCCATAGGTGCACAATTATTGTCCAATCTCTTCCCTCACCCCCACCCCCCACCCCCAAGAATAGTCAGTCCATTCCCTTTCTATGTCCCTGATTCTATTACAGTCACCAGTTCATACTGTTCATCAGATTATTTATTCACTTGTTAGATTCACTTGTTGATAGATGTGTATTTGTTGTTCATAATTTGTATCTTTACCTTTTTCTTCCTCTTCCTCTTCTTAAAGGATACCTTCCAGCATTTCATATAATACTGGTTTGGTGATGATGAACTCCTTTAGCTTTTTCTTATCTGTGAAGCTCTTTATCTGGCCTTCAATTCTGAATGATAGCTTTGCTGGATAAAGTAGTCTTGGTTGTAGGTTCTTGGCATTCATCACTTTGAATATTTCTTGCCGCTCCGTTCTGGCCTGCAAAGTTTCTGTTGAGAAATCAGCTGACAGTCATATGGGTACTCCCTTGTAGGTAACTGAGTTTCTTTCTCTTACTGCTTTTAGGATTCTCTCTTTATCTTTTGCTCTTGGCATTTTAATGATGATGTGTCTTGGTGTGGTCCTCTTTGGATTCCTTTTGTTTGGGGTTCTCTGCGCTTCCTGGACTTATAAGTCTATTACTTTCACCAGGTAGGGGAAGTTTTCTGTCATTATTTCTTCAAATAGGTTTTCAATATCTTGCTCTCTCTCTTCTTCTGGCACCCCTATAATTCGGATGTTGGTACGCTTGAAGCTGTCCCAGAGGCTCCTTACACTATCTTCGTATTTTTGGATTCTTTTTTCATTTTGCTTTTCCGGTTGGGTGTTTTTTGCTTCTTCGTATTTCAAATCTTTGACTTGATTCTTGCGATCCTCTGGTCTGCTGTTGGGAGTCTGTATAATGTTTTTCATTTCAGTCAGTGTATGCTTAATTTCTAGTTGTTCCTTTATCACAACATCGAGGGTCTCATTAGATTTCTTGAGGATCTCACTACATTTATCGGCGGTCTCACCAGTCTTTTCGAGGGCCTTATTAAATTTATTGGCGGCTTCTAGACAGTTCTTTAAAGATCTTAAAAGTGTGTTTTTGAACTCTATATCCAGCAGTTTGCTTTCCTCCCATTCTGTCGTTTGTGTCCTGTTTCTTTGTCTCGGCATTTTTTATGCTTCACTGTGTCGATAGAGTGCCTTTCTGTGCTAAGTGTCCCAATTACCTGAGGTAGACACTCTTGGTGCACCCCCTTGTGGGCTTTGTGCACAGTCTTGTTGTAATTAAGCCTTGATTGTTGTAGTTATCACTGTGAGGAATTGACCTCCAGGCCAATTGGCTGTGAGAATCCGCTGTGTCTGCAGTGGGAGAACTTCTGTGCTGGAGACACCCCTCTGGGGCTAGACTTGCTTCGATGGGGCTTTGGTGCTCACTGAGTCTGCCCCCTGAGTGTGTCTTTTATGGTTCCACGGAGCTGCAGACTGGATGGTCCCACTCTGACCTCTGGCTTCCTGGCTCCTGGATCTCTAGGGAGGTGCTAATCTAGCCTTTGCCTGAGGCTATCCAGCAAAAGTCTCCCTGCAAGGCTTGGGCGGGGCGGGTCCCAGGGGATCAACAGGGCGGGGTTAGCAATTATGGCTGCTCTGTCTTGCCCTCAGAGGCTCTGCTCAGTGTCCCAGTAATCGCTGCAAGCCCCACAGAGAGAAAGCTGCCGTGGGGTTCTGACCAATGCCAGACAGTCCCGCTTCTCCCGTATGAGTCTGGGTCCCTAGAGACTCGCCCTGAACTGGAGCTTAGAGCCTGAGACTCCCTCCTGATTGAAAACAACAACCATGCCCTCAGCCGCCAGCCCTCTCCCCATTCACTCCGCACCTTAGTATTTTACTTAAGCACTGGGCCTCCTTTGAGTCTCGGCATGCTTTTCTCTTTCCTCCTAGTTGTAGAACTTCCACTCAGCCAGCCTTCCTGTGGTTCTGGATGATGTCCGTTCTGTCTTTTAGTTGTATTTTTGAAGTGGTTGTTCGAGGCAGCAAACTCCGCTGTTTACCTATGCCGCCATCTTGGTTTCTGGCTCCAAGGTATGATTTCTTGTTGGTTAAAACTAAGATCTAGTATACTATGTGTAGCTTTATGGGGTTCAAGAGATTAAACTTTAGTAGGTTCAGAGAGAGCAACTAAGATGGCGGCATAGGTAAACACCGGGAAATTATCGCCTCACACAACAATTGAAAATTACCGCAAAGGACTGAGCAAACATCATCCAGAACAACAGGAAGGCTGGCTGAGTGTAAAGTCCACAACTAGAAGGAAAGAAAAGCACGCTGAGAGCCAGAGGCGCTGCGGAGGTGAAGTGCAGAGGTACGGCGGCGCGCGCGCGCGAGGAAAGGGGGTAGCACCTGAGGACGCGGCTGACTTTTTGAGTCACAGGCTCCTGACTGCTCTGAACTCCGGTTCCGGGAAGTCTCTGGGGACCCAGGACTCATACGGGGAGAGGCTGGTCTGTCCGGCAGCGAGCGAACTTGAGGGCGGCTTTCCCTCAGAGGTGCTTGCAGCCGTTACCGGAACACTGAGACGCGCGACTCCGGGCGGAGAATCGGCCATGGCTGCTTTCTCCGCCCTCTGACTCCCTGAGACCCCGCCCCACCCAGGCTGCGGCAGAGGCTTTTGCATGTGAATGTACCTAACTGCAGCCGAACCAGGCAGACCTGGAACTTCCAAGAGAAGGCCCAAGGCCCCGCAGCGGCTTGCATTGCTTCACAGCTGAGCCTCTTCGTGGCTCCTGCTGTGTGGCCTCAGGCAGAGGCTGAATTAGCACCTCCTTAGATCCAGGAGCCACTGTACCCAGTGGTCAGAGGGGGTCCATCCAGACTGCAACTCCTCAGATCCATAAGGGACGCACTTAGGCAGCAGACTCAGTGAGCACCAAAGCCCCACTGAAGCAAGTCTTGCCCCAGAAGGGTGTCTTCAGCACAGAAGTTCTCCCACTTTAGACACAGCTGATTCTCACAGCCAATTGGCCTGGAGGTCAATTCCTCCCAGTGATTCTACAACAACCAAGGCACCAAGAGTGCACCAAGAGTGTCCACCCCAGGTAACTGGGGAGGCTGAGCTACTGGGCCCTACAGGACACCTGGCGCACAGGGCCACTCTATCAACACAGGGAAGCTGCCAAAATGCGGAGACAAAGAAACAGGTCACAAATGGCAGAAATGGAGGAAAGCAAACGATTGGATATAGAGTTTAAGGCCACGGTTATAAGGTTTTTCAAGAATTTTATGGAAACCGCCGATAAATTTAATGAATCCCTCAGTAAGTATAGGGAGACCATGGAGGACATGAAAAAGGACCAACTAGAAATTAAGCATACACTGACTGAAATAAAGAAGAATTTACAGAGATCCAGCAGCAGACAAGAGGATCCCAAGAATCAAGTCAAAGATTTGAAATACAAAGAAACAAAAAATACCCAACCGAAAAAGAAAAAAGAAAAGAGATTCCAAAAATATGAAGATAGTGTAAGGAACCTCTGGGACAACTTCAAGCGTACCAACATCAGAATTATAGGGGTACCAGAAGGAGAGAGAGGGCAAGATATTGAAAACCTCTTTGAAGAAATAATGACAGAAAACTTCCCCTACCTGGTGAAAGAAATGGACTTACAAGTCCAGGAAGCGCAGAGAACCCCAAACAAAAGGAATCCAAAGAGGACCACACCAAGACACATCATCATTAAAATGCCAAGAGCAAAAGATAAAGAGAGAATCTTAAAAGCAGCAAGAGAAAGACAGTCAGTTACCTACAAGGGAGTACCCATACGACTGTCAGCTGATTTCTCAACAGAAACCATGCAGGCCAGAAGAGACTGGCAAGAAATATTCAAAGTGATGAATAGCAAGAACCTGCAACCAAGATTACTTTATCCAGCAAAGCTATCATTCAGAATAGAAGGTCAGATAAAGAGCTTCACGGATAAGAAAAAGCTAAAGGAGTTCATCACCACCAAACCAGCATTATATGAAATGCTGAAAGGTATT